TAATTCCACTAAAATTCAAGCAACATTTTATAATCTCTATACTTAAAACTCTCTAGTTTTCCTCCATTTTATTCAAAATAACTTATTTAGTGCTCCAAATCCCATATGAAGTAAGTTCAAATATTGAAACTGACCCAACAGTCTCATAGATAATTTTTTGAATGAACATAGAAATTGACATTTCTGGTCTTAAAGCTTGAACTTTATATTTGTTTTATCTAGTTTCTTCCTCAGGAAATGACCTTCAGACATCTGAAAAAAGGTATCAATGAACTGAAACTCACCAGATTACCAAATCCAGAAAATGAAATGTTGGACCTCTCATTTATCGTGATTGCTTCCTTGCCCTTCTCTAGTTCCTGTTTTGTTTTTGTTTTGTTTTGTTTTGTTTTTCCACATTTCTTCCTTGCTATATAAATGCCTAGTTTTAGTCAGTCAGTGAGATGGATTTGAGAATGATCTCCCATTTGCTTTGGCTTAGCACCTGATAAAAGTTTCTTCCTTGGCAATACTCATTGTCTCTGTCATTGGCTTTCTACGCAGCAACTAGCAGGACCTAGACCAAACCCCTGGTGTTTCGATAACATAGTATCATTTTACATACTGGGAGGTAAAAATTAAACAATGATAGTAAAAAGATTCCTGGCTTGTAAGGGTTATAATAAGATTCAGTCTTAGGAGTCCTGGTTTAAGAGTCCATATTTGCAGCCATTATGATTCACTAAGAAAAGCGTTTTACCTAAATTAAGCAATAAAATCCTAAAGTCTCTCCATTCTGGCTCTGCAGTTTATCTCAAGACCTCTTCCCCTATAAGCCCTCCTTTTGCCTATTCCTCCAGTCACACCAGCCCATTACTATTTTTTGAACTGTTCAGTCAGACTAAAATCCACACAGTTCCCTCAACCTGCATCAAACTTTCCTTGCTTCTCTGTTTACATCCACTTGGCACTTCAAGTTTTCTGTTCTTCCAGTTGCTGATTTCTCTGTCATTCTTTAATATATGCCATCTTCTTTCTGCTATGACAACTATTCTCATCGTCCATTTGGTAAATGATTTCAAAGTGGTGGGGTGGCCAGTGCTGTCTGGCAAGATTCTGACTCCACAAAGTTGTGGATTCAAGCAATTATTTTCTAAAATACAGAGATTGAGATTTTCTTTTTTTTTTCCTTTTTTTTTTCTATTATTATACTTTAAGTACTGGGGTATACGTGCAAATCTTGCAGAATTGTTACATAGGTATACACATGCCACAGTGGATTGCTGCCTCCATCCCCCCATCATCTACATTAGATATTTCTCCTAATGTTATCCCTCCCCAATCTCCCCACCTCCTGTTATCTCCTAGGCCCCCGCTCCCCAACAGACCCCAGTGTGTGATGTTCCCCTCCCTGTGTCCATGTGTTCTCACTGTTCAACACCCACTTATGATTGAGAACATTCAGCGTTTGGTTTTCTGTTCTTGTGTCAGTTTGCTGAGAATGATGGTTACCAGATCCATCCATGTCCCTGCAAAGAACATGAACTTATCCTTTTTTATAGCTACATAGTATTCCATGGTATATATGTGCCACATTTTCTTTAACCAGTCTGTCACTGATGGACATGTGGGTTTGTTCCAAGTCTTTGCTATTGTAAACAGTGCCATCATGAACATATTTGTGCATGTGTCTTTATAATAGAACGATTTATAAGCCTTTGGGTATATACCCAGTAATGGGATTGCTGGATCAAATGGCATTTCTATTTCTAGATCCTTGAGGAATCGCCACACTGTCTTCCACAATGGTTGGGCTAATTTACACTCCCAACAACAGTGTAAAAGTGTTCCTGTTTCTTTACATTCTCTCCAGCATCTGTGGTCTCCAGATTTTTTAATGATCGCTATATTAACTGTTGTGAGATGGTATCTCAATGCAGTTTTGATTTGCATTTCTCTGATAACCACTGATGATGAGCATTTTTTCCATATGTTTTTTGGCCGCATAAATGTCTTCTTTTATAAAGTATCTGTTCATATCCGTTGCCCACTTTTTGATGGGGTTGTTTTTTTCTTGTAAATTTGTTTTAGTTCTTTGTAGATTCTGGATATTAGCCCTTTGTCAGATGGGTACCTAGCAAAATTTTTTTCCCATTCTGTTGGTTGCCAGTTCTCTCTAATGGTTAAAAAGATTCCCTATTTAATAAATGGTGTTGGGAAAACTGGCTAGCCATGTGCAGAAAGCTGAAACTGGACCCCTTCCTTATACCTTATACAAAAACTAACTCCAGATGTATTAAAGATTTAAACATAAGACCTAACACCATAAAAACCCTAGAAGAAAACATAGGTAATACCATTCAGGACATAGGCATAGGCAAGTACTTCATGACTAAAACACCAAAAGCAAAGGCAACAAAAGCCAAAATAGACAAATGGGATCTAATTAAACTTAAGAGCTTCTGCACAGCAAAAGAGGCTGAGATTTTCTAGTCTTTCAGAGTCCTAGCTCCTTTCCATCTGAAGGATGCATTTGCTATTCCTTCCACCTGGAATATTCTAGTTCCTGGGATCTTTTTGCATTGCTGGTCCCAGCTCAGTATCTTGTCTCTGCTATATATCATCCCCTTGGGAAGATTTCTCTGGTTACTCTAGCTAATGTAGCCACCATCACTATTCTGTTAACCACTCTATCCTATCACATTTTCACTTTCTTCAGAGCAAAATATTTGACAATTTTGTATCTGTTTACATATGGATACAAAATGTATGGATTTTGTATGGATTATCTTCCCCCACTGAACTATGAGCTCTTTAAGCATGGACTTTGTTCTCTTTGATTTCCATCACCTAGATCAGAGCCTTCACAAAGAAAGTGATAGATAGAATATTTCTTAAATGTATGAATAAATCCTTAATTTTATCTGACTTGGTTTCAATAAGTATAAAAACAGCAAGAAGTATGAAAACTTCTGAATTTTATCTAAATTTTGCAATTTTGTAGACAGACACAACTTTTTTCTACTATAGTTGGTATGTGTATACATTATGGTCTATTTCCAATTTATCTTTCTCTATAAATAAGGCATATGCAATTTTAACAATTCTTACAAGACAAGTACTCAACACATACAGTCTTTTCTTTTACTCCCCTAGTCTTAGCCATGAATATAGTGGAATTTCTGTGATAGAGCAGTATTTTATGGCTGGTAGATATATATACATACATACAGTTATATATATACACACATAGATAAAAATACATGTACACACATGCAGCTCTTTTTGTGTGTGTATATAGGTATTTACCTATTCTTTTGGTATGCTTAGAACATTGTCTTTCCCATATGGTTATTTGGCAGAATGCCGTTTTCCTTAGAGTTTAAGGTTAGATGAGTAAAGGCATGTTGCCAGGCCAGAAAATATACCTCAAGAGAAATGTAGCTTATTAACAAATGCTATAAAACACACCCTGACACTTTGTCATGTCATGCTGTAGTAAATTAGAAGAGCGTCCTTAGGTCTTAAGGGAGATATTGCAGCTCTGATCCTTTACAAGTTGATCTGTGAATATAAATGCCTGCAATATGTATCAGTGGCTAAATAAACCAAGAGTTAATGCTTAGCATATAAAATTTTTGAGTAAAAATTCAAAGGAAGGTATGACTGTAGTCCTTATAAGAAGAAAAAAATGCCGCAGAGGAAGAGAGCATAATGAGGAAATTGGACATTTCTTAGATAAATAAGATGAGGCTATTGATATCAGAGATATACCAGCCACAATAAAAATAATGACAGTAAAGATGCTTACATAGCTCAATTAAAAGTTATTTCCTTTTAACTTACTTCAAGTTTTCTTCTTGTTTTGATTCAGTTAACCTTGTGTTTGAGGGCCAGCAGCGAATAATATTTTAAAACATTTTTGTATTTCTAATTTAAAAATATATATAATGGTTCTTTTCATTTCCCAGAGAAATAAAAACTTAAGTTTACACACACAAAAAACCTGTAATAAATGTTCAGTTTTATGAATGGAGCAGTTTTATTTACACTAACGAAAGATTGACAACAATCTAGATATCTTTATTTATTTATTTTGAGACAGAGTCTTGCTCTGTTGCCCAGGCTGGAGTGCAGTGGCATGATCTTGGCTTACTGCAACCTCCACCTCCCAGTTTGAAGTGATTCTCCTTAACAGCCTCCCAAGTAGCTGGGATTATAGGCACGCACCACCATGCCTGGATAAATTTTTGTATTTTTAGTAGAGACGAGGTTTTGCCATGTTGCCCAGGCTGGTCTTGAACTCTAGAGCTCAGACAATCTGCTCGCCTCAGCCTCCCAAAGTGATGGGATTACAGGTGTGAGCCACCGCGCCTGGCCAACTTAGATGTCTTTAAATGGGTAAATGGTTAAACTAACTGAGGTCCATCTATAGCAAAAAATACTAGTCAGCAACAAAAATTAATGAACTATCAATACAATGACTATTGGTGTATATCTTCAAGGAATTATATTGAGTGAAAAGCCAATCTTGTCCATGAATATACTGCACGATCCTATTTATAATCTTCTTGAAATAACAATATTTTAGAAATGAAGAACAGATTAGTAATTACTAAAAGTTAAGGGGAATAGGAACATGGGTATGACTATAAAAGAGCAGTGGGGGGGATTCATGTGGTGATGGAAATGTTCTTTATATTACATGTATCAATGTCAATAGCCTGGTTTTTATTTCGTAGCATAAGTTTCCAATGTGTTACACTGGGAGAAAACAGATAAAACTTATTCTTAAAGAAGTAACATTTTCATCTACTATCAGATATTCAAATCTCAGTGAAAATAAATAGCAGATACTTGGTGACTCCATTTCAGTATCTATAATTTGATATGTCACATAAATAGAGTGCATATTTTTATCAGCTCCTTGTATATTGGAAATTCTATTTGAAAATAAAGATGTCATGTAATAAAATTATATGATCATTTTTATAAAATGTTATTTTATTAAACATTCTTACCATAAGAAGTTCTTCTTAGATAAGTTCCCAAAAGATGATTTCCCTGGTGGAGGTTAAAAAAAACAAAAGAAAAAGAAAATTAGAAATAATGAATATTATATCATATACTATTTAAGAAGTTTTATTTTTCAAATTTAGATTCCTCCCTTTTCTTGAACTTAATGCATTTATTCAAATAAGACTACTGTCACTATATAAATAGTCAAAATACTTTTACATTCATTGTATGACTGCTGTTCTATTACAGAAAAAAAGCATTCTATAGGAAGTGAATAATAGTCAGTGGTTTTCCACTTCTAATACAAATCATTTAACTTTACTGGCCTTAGTTTTCTTACTTATAAAATCATGAAATTTACTTGTAGATATATCCAATCTAAAATTCTAATTATGTGTAAAGCTAGAACAATGTGATTTTAATGTTTTAAAAATTGTATCCATGTTAATTTTGCAGTGCCAACTAAATAACTCTCTTTCCTTCCTTTTATCTCAGAGCATAGAACATCAAGTTGTATTTCATGTATCTCATGTTTAAATCGAAATGTGAAGCTATAGAGTAATTTGCAACTATTTATTTTTCATCAAGAGAAGAACATATTTTTCATATGTTTTGGTAGTCTGAGCACTAGAAGCTCAAAATGAAACTGGAGGAATAAAATCTTCTAATTTCCCCCTGAGTGATTTAAATGCCTTTAAAAGGATCTTTTGCTCATAGAAAATATTTACTTCTCCATCACCATTTTTTCAATTCCTACCATGGATTTTCCACTACCAAACTTTAATTTAAATTTGGACTATGAACTTAGAACTGAGCAAAAGCAATAGATTTCCAAAATCAGAAGGCTGCTGGGAATCACTTTCAATAAGAGAAGAAAAACAAATGAATTACAGCCAGCATTAGGCTCCGGAATTGAAATTACAAGCACTCTGAGGAGTATTTATAGTATACAGTCCAAGGATCCTGCTGCTCAGGTCCATTAACATTGTAGATCCTGCTGAATTATGAAAATATTCCTAAAAACTAACAATTTTACAAAAAGATGCCACAACCAAATTTCCAAAATACTCCCTTGATAAATAAAAACTTATATAAAACTAAGTATTTATATTGTAGTTTTAAGAAAACTTTAGGATGTGCAGATATATTTCACATGTTAAAAGCAGTGAAATGTCTGGTTGAAAATAAACAGACACAGTAACTGAAAACTCCATTAAATCGACCTGATTTTAAATTCCATCACTGATAGAAAATGACTTCAATGCTCCCAAAGTAATAAAGTCCATGTTCTTTGGTGCAGCTCAAGAATGCAGACTGGGGCAGGTGAAAGTTATAGGAAGGGTGATTTCATTTTATATAAGGGTGAAAATGCTTCATGAGATAGTTTCCAGTGAGTAAAAACATTTAAACAGATGTTAGATGGCTTCCCTTTGGCTACTATATAAAAGGCATCTGGACTAGACGATCTCTATGTTTATTTCCTGCACCTAAGATTGCATAATTATGTGATTCAATGACATTTGTAGTGACCCTGCAATGAAATCTGAGACGCAGAACAAGTCTGTGTTAATGTACTTTAAATATCAAGTCTAGAACTCTCTTTCCTTCCCTTTTTCTTAGTAATTCCTATAGGTCTAGCTTATCTATTAGGTAAATTATTAGACCTATAGGATATTCAGGAATTACTTTATTAGACCTTCTCCGAGAATTTTCCTGCCCCAGCCCTCATCCTGAGGCTGGGTTAGTTGTGTGTTTCTATAGCAAATGTATTCACACCCATAGCATGGCTTTGCATATGGTACTATAACTGTCTATTGCCCTTACTAGAATGTAGGCTCCTATAGGCAATAGTTGTGATTGCAATGACAAGGCATATTTTAAAAATTAGTTGTATGCAAGTACCAGTTCCAGAATGTTGATATAATTGTTTTCTGGGTATAAAAAATAATTTTTTGAGATAAATTTGGAAGGTTCTGAATGGTTCAGAGGTTAAGCAAATATATTTACTTAAGGACACAGCAGAACCATGAAAGTGTTTCATATTCTGTAAATAACAATGATTATTAAAAAGGTAAGTAGATGCAGAATTTAACACTATTTTACCTGGGACTTATTTTTTTACGGAGTATCTTCTAAGACTAGAGTTTATTTTTATCTTTCCCAATTTCCTCTAGAAAACACTGAATTATATCATTCACCATTTCACTAGATAGTATCTGGCACTGAGTAGGAATGTAAGAAAAACTAATTGTATCCATCAGTTACTAAAATTTAAACTAATTGCTTTCATGTTCCATGATAAATGCTGCCATATCTATCCCAAATTATTCTTTAGATAAAAGAAGTATTTGGGTCACCTTCTTTGCTTTGATTGCAAAAATCCTTTCTGTGATATAGTTGGCCATTTAACTTCTGTGAGAATGATTTAGGGCAGACATCATATCTACATGAGCTAGTGTGTTTCACTGTAAGATAGCCATTGATTTAAACACTTTTTTCACTGAATTTATAGCTGGATGCCTCTAACTTTTGTTCCTTTTTGAACAACCAAACTAAGTTTGTGCCTTCTTCAACATGCTCCTTAATAGACATTGTTTTTAGGTTTCTCCTCTATGAGCTGAATATCTTAGTTTCCTTATTCTTCTGCCACGGTTTCCAGATTTCCAAACCGACAGGAGTCTTGTTATAAAATGATAGTTGATTTTACTATCTTCTTCCAAAGCCCACTTTAGGGCAAGGTAAGGCAGAATCTTAATAGTTTATAAAGATGCCACTGCTCAATCCTATGTTGTTTATTCCACTCACATTGCTTCTTTTGACCAGAATGATTTTCCTTCTTCCCTCCTTCTCATTATTTGTCCTTTGGGAAAAAACTCACCCTGCTTTCATGTTCAACCACATTCTCTGTCATTTCTCCTCTCCTGCTGTTGGAAAATCACTTAAGACTCATTGTCTATTGTGATAATTCAGCCTCCCAATTTTCTGTATTATTAACTGATGTTTCATATGTACTTTCCTTTATTCTTAGTGAATAAAGTTAATAATGACTAATTTCTTATAACTAAGAAGTTATAAGACTCATGAGGGCAAGTACTTTACTTTTAATATTTCTAGACACTCTGTCAAATACACAAATGATTAACCAGTTGCCTGAAAATGTTGGTAGACACATATGCATATTTATATGGCCATAGTTCTTATGTCCATCCTTGCTCTTTGATATTTAGATGGCTAAGGTGCAGGGCACTGGGACAGATGGAGGCAACTGATATACAGCTTGTTTCTTGACCTTCCAAGCTTTTATTTTCATTGGGAGTAGAGGGGAGGAATGGCATGCTGGAAGTCTAAAAAAATTTCCTAGAATTTCTTGCCTTGTTTCATGATTAGTTCTACAAATGGGAAGCAATGGGAGGAGGCACAGGCAGGAGGCATTCTGTATTTAACTCTCAACTTAGCAGAAAGGCAATTACCAGGAAAGCATAGCTTCCAGAATTTTCAGATCCCAACAGCAGGGGTTAAGGCAGCCCCATTTTAGAAGCAGTACATTATATAAACAACAGATGCTGGTGAAGTTGTGGAGAAAAAGGAATGCTTTTACAATGTTGGTGGGATTGTAAATTGGTTGAACCATTGTTAAAGACAGTATGGTGATTCCTCAAAGATGTAGAGGCAGAAATATCATTTGACCCAGCAATCCCATTATTGGGTATGTACCCAAAGGTATATAAATTATTGTTATAAAGATACATGCACACGTATGTTCATTGCAGCACTATTCACAATAGCAAAGGCATGGAATCAACCTAAATTCCCATTAATAATTGACTGAGAAAGAAAATGTGGTGCATATACACCATGGAATACTATGCAACCATAAAAAGGAATGAGATCATGTCCTTTGCAGGGACATGGATGGAGTTGGAAGCGTTTATCCTCAGCAAACTAATGCAGGAACAGAAAACAAAACACTGCATGTTCTTACCTATAAGTGGGAGCTGAATGATGAGAACATGTGGAAACATAGGGGCAGGAATAACATACACTAGGGTCTGTTGAAGAGTAGGGGGGTGGGAAGACAGAGCATCAGGAAGAATAGCTAATGGATGATGGGCTTAATATTTAGGTGATGGGATGATCTGTGCAGTAAACCACCATGGCACACACTTACCTATGCAACAAACCTGCACATCCTGCACATGTACCCATGAACTTAAAAGCTGGAACAAAAATGAAGCAATGCACCATAGCAGCTTAGCTAGGAATGCTCTCCAGAACACAGGCAGGGACAGTGTCCCAGTCTGGGGTAACAATCGCTCTTCCCCTTTCCTGCACATCTATGACTTCTGTAAACATTTCTCTGCACGAATATCCTCTCTTTGAGGATATCCAAATTTCTAATAAAACATGAAATGCCTTCAGGAAAACACTTTGATCATAAGTATGATCATAATGAAATACCACTAAATAATCACCAGAGTGGCTAATGAGAAAGACAGGAATACCAAGTGCTGGGGAAGATATTGAGCAACTGAAATCCTCCAACAGAACTAGAAGCTGTGGAAAATTGGTACAACCTTTAGGAACCAATCTAGCTGTTTCTACTGAATGTGAACATACAAAATCCCTACGATCCAAAAATTCAATTCCTAGATATATTTTTATCAGAAATGTGTTCCAATGTTTACTAAAAAATTATGTAACACAATAAAATATTACTGATTTGTAATAGCCAAAACCTAGATATCACTCAAATCTCCATCAATGATAGGATAAATTGAGGTATTGCACAATGCTTACTGTACTGCAATGGTAATCACTGCCTCAAATACATGCAACAATAGGAATGAATTACACAAACACTGTTGAGCTAAAGCCAGACAGAAGTGAACATGCTATATTATGCAATATTTATATAAAATAATATAAGAGATTATTCTATGTTATAAATGTTAGGAGAGTGGACTAACTTTGGGGGAAATTGAATCCCTACAATGTATTTACAATTAAAAAATTAACTCAACAGGGCATGGTGGCTCATACTTGTA